CAGGGGGCCGCGGGGGAGGCGCAGCACTTACGGGGGGCGGCGGGCGCGGGGCGGCTCCGAGCCGGCTGCGAGCTGGCTGCAGCATGGATCCGGCACAGGGGAGGGGAGGGGAGGGGACGCGGCAGCTGCCGGGGCTGCGGAGACGCCCCTGCCGTGACTCAGAGGCGGCGGCACCTGTGCCCGCCTGTCAGCCCGCGCCTCCGCGCAGCCTCCGCCCCGCGCCGCGCCCGCCGGGGGGGCTGCAGGTAGAGCGGGTAGGCGGTACGACCCCCTGACCCGCGTCACATCGCTGAGGCAACTCCCTCCGCTTTACGTCACAGAGCTGCTGCCCCCCCCGCCTTACGTCACAGAGCTGCTCCCCACAACGTTCGGGCGCCGCCCGGAGCCCCCCCCAGGTGGCGGGAGGGTGTGCGCGGAGGGGAGGGTGTCCAGCCCTGTCCCGGGATGACCTGAGCCCTAGGGCTGGCCGGAGTGGCAGGGGCAGCCTGTGGGTGTAGCCCCGTGGCACAGGAAGGAGATGCAGGGCAGGGAGCAGAAAGCAGAGCAGCAGGCCAGACAGGGAGGGACGCAGGGAGGGAAGGGGCAGGGCAGCAGGCCAGACAGGGAGGCCTAGGGCTGGAGCAGAAAGCAGGGCTGGGAGCAGAAGGAAGAAGTACAGGGCAGGGAAGCCACAAGTAGAGCAGAAGATCAGGTGAGGGATGCAGGGGCTAGGAGCACAAAGCAGAGCAGCAGATTTCGGCAGGAAATGCAGGGCTGGAAGAAAAAAGCAAGCAGCAGATCAGGCAAGAAGTGCAGGTCTGGGAGCCAGAAGCAGAGTAACAGAAGAGGCAGGGAGCACAGGGTAGGGAGCAGAAAGCAGAGCAGCAGATCCTGCACAGAGCACAGGCCTAGGAGCCAGAAGCAGCGCAGCACATCAGTTAGAAGAAAGGGTCGGGAGTGGCACGCAGGAAAGGTGCAGAGCTAATCTGTGGCATGCCCTGTTGACCCCCACTGTCTCTTCATAGCGCTTGACAGAGCAGACCGGTGTCTGTTTATGAAAGCTTACACCTTTCTTCTTGTCTTCAGGCTAACACAGCTACCTGCCTCTTTATGTGACAGCTATCGCAAGACTTGGCACAGCTGCAGCAGGCGTGCACAGATGTAGCAGGGAGAGTTGAGAGTGTGACTTGTCTGTGCCCCAGCTCCTCTTCCACGTGAGTTCCCAAAACCCCAGATCATTTTAAAGCCAGATTGAAAGGAAGCTGCCCATCTGTTTTATAAAAGTGAAAATGCTTTGAGCAGAGACTTAAAGGACTCAAAAAATAGCTGCTGGTTGCCCCACAGATTAGTGACTAGGAAGCCTGTAAATACCAAAGTGGATGTTAAATTTTTTACAAGTGCCTCTGTTAATCCTTATAGAGACCCCAGCATTGTTGCACTTCTTCCAGGGGCATCCTCCCAGAGGTTTCTGTTGGCAGGTACCTGGGCTTAACACCCCCGCACTTCTGACAGCTTTACTGAAGGTTCATTTTTCAAAATGTTGCATTTGGCACTGACATACAAGCATTTATTGAAAATATTAAATATGCTACAGACCTGACTTAGGCTAAGGTATTTTCATAAATATTTACACAGTTTTTATTATGCATGGGGTAAGTGTAGACATGAGACTCCCCCTGCACAGCGTTGTTACTTCTGTAAAGAATACCTTTTTTCACCCAAACACACATCTGTTCAAGAGGATTTTATTTTTCCCTTTTGCTGTCTTCTCTGCAGTTGTTGGCCTGAAGCACTTTTCTTCAGGGTAATTGCAAGCAAGTTCTTACAGCTTGACCATAAGTAGCATTGAAAACCTGTGAGGGTATTTTCATGCTGCAGGTGGACTGAAAGGAGAGCTATTTTGCACAGACACAACTATCCAGCCTTATGTTCTGTGCAGCAGATGAGACCCTGATTCTGCCATTTTAAATTTAACTTTCTGAAGGAAAATACTTTTGAAGTGAGACATCCTCTACATGCTCTGAACTGAAGTGTTTAAAACTGAAAGATAAACCAAACAAAACACCTCTGCTGCTTTCAGCTGTTTGATTTCCTAAGGCTAGGGGAAGTATTTCTCAGTATGTCTTCACTGTGTGGTTAATCCTGGCTCTTACCCAGGCTTTAGCTGCACTCCCAACATGAGCCGCATAGAAAGTTGCTTGACTGGGGTTTAGAGGTGCAGTAGAGGGGGAGGGGTTAGAACAGGGGTCAGTAGTGTTTTTGGGCTGAATGCCAAAACCCCCCACAAACTGGACTTCTAAGACGTTTACATACTAGGGACGGATGGTGGCGGGGCCATGAGGGGCCCGATCTTTCCTGGTTGTGCTCCCCAAAGCATGCAAGCAGCCACTGCCAGCAACAAGCCAGGGCTCCCAACCTTGGTACAGCAACTTGCAGCCATACGGCTGCCTGCTGCAAGCAGTCCGGGCTCTGAGCAAGCCCCTGCCTCCTGCCATGGAGCCCTGGCTGCTTGCAGTAGGCAGCTGTGAGAATGCAAGAGGCTGCACTGGGGTCCAGAGCCCCAGCCTTGGCTGGTTGTCAGCAGTGGTCAGTACTGTAGCAAGGGAGGGGTGAGTGGGGTGACCACCCCAGGTGCCAAAGTGAAGGGGCACCCACAGGTGCTGCCCAGCTAGAGTGCAGCACAAGTTGAAACTGCAAGCAGCTTGTTTGGGGGAGCACAGGGATGGTGGTGGCTCCTGCTGCTTTGTGCACACCCTGGCAAGCATGGGGGGGCATGTGCCCCCCCCCCCCGATCTGTGTGCGGGGCTGCTGCAGTGAGCTTGCCCGGGGCACCAGACTTCCTTGCTGCAGCATTGGCAGTGGCTGCACATGTGCCTTGGGGAGCACAGCAGGGAAAGGGTCGAGCC